GGGGGGGGGGGGGGGGGGGGGGGGGGGGGGGGGGGAGTACCGCCAAAACCAGGCGATGTGCGAAATCACATACATACGGGGAAAGGTAATGGAACTTTTTTTGTATTATCACGATAATACATGAGATGGTACAGTGGAAATTTTGCTATACTTCTTCGTGCGCACCGTCAGTTTGTCTATGTATGTAACAGCAGATATAGAGGTATGAAAGAAGTGAAAGAATAAGTGTTGAAACGAATACGTGTGAAAAAACCGGTACTGCCGACGTATCAGTGGCATATATGTTCAAGTATGAGGACTGCTACATCTGAGCCAGCTGGCAGTACTGATGTGACAGTGGCAGATAGTGTGTTGTTATGAATATAAGGGATAATCCCCTGTGCGTGCAGGTCCAGTTTAATGGAAGAATAGATTGTTTTTGTGTTTTAAATACTTCAAATACGTTTCAGGCTGTGGAAGCTCGTGAGTCGACGGCTTGTTTAGCGTGGTTAGTAACGATCATCGGTGCTGCAGTTCAAGGTCGTGCAGCATGTGTTGGCCGTGATGATCATGATTTAATTGATGGAGACATGATTTGTAGGTGAGCACTATTGGCTGCACTATATCCAGTGCTTTAGCGGATTACAGCTTTTATTAGGGTTAAGGATTTTTTGAAGAGTAACTCCTCAGATCGTTTAACCTTTTGATGTATGGATGTTGATTTACAGCAATAAATTAAGCCTTCCATTTCAGGGTGCTGAAATTGATGGAATTGTCGGATTCACGATTGGCGACCGGTACAGCTAGAAATCTACAACTAGAAACGGCATTTTTATACATGCTGGATCAGTTTCGCAGAATATATGTCAGCGATCAAATTCAGATAACTAGTAAAGTGTACGAGCGAATGGAGAAGAATCTCGGTGTGGGAGATGAAGCATCTGTTTTGAGCGTTTATGTTCGTAAAATGTAAGTTCTGTTAACGTTCCCTTGCTTAACTTCTTGCTCGTTTTGGAATGACATTTTCAACCGTTCACACGCGCGGATTCTTATTACTGCCTGTTTTACGTATATGGAAAAGCGACCGTCATGATGTGATATCGTACATATATGTATGTACCCGATTTTATGTCTGCCCAATTAATTCGTCTGCTGAAGCACGAAAGATTCCTGCGTACTACCAAATTCTTGTTGATCAGAACACTAATAACGAGGAGTTGTAAGCTGATGTAATTGACTGGTAAATGAAAACTTTACTTCAAGGCTGAAGATGCAGCAGATCCTATCCGACAAAAATTAGACCTTGTTTGTCCCATTTGTAATTTCACCACATTCAGCCAAAAAACACTGATGTACCTTGTAGCTCTGTTCAGGCGACTGAATCATCTCTATTGTTGCATTTTTTTTTTTTTACTTTTTTGATTTCACGGACTTTTTAAAAACTGAGGTGTTGCAGGATTACGAATTTAAAGTACTGGGCATCTGAAGAAAAGCTGATTTCGGATACTTTAACGCTTCTTAACGAACTCTCTCTCGGCTACTCAGCTGCGCGACGTCTCATACGACTGCCAGAAATACAGCTGCTACTAAATCATCATACGGCAAGTCTTCGCAATAATCACTGTACAATAATTGTACACAAGCGTGCAAACAGTTTTCCGGTTATTGCAGTTGCGGTCGTTTTTAGAATAAGGATGAAAGATTTCTTTCTAAACAAATTTACCTGTGCTTTGCATTGACTACTGCCAACGGGTGCTTCCTCTTGACGAAGTGCTGTCCGGGGGCCGTCTCATAGTTTCTTTGATTTCTGTATAGAGTGAAATATAAAGATGATTTTGGCTGTAACGTAACATTTTTCCAGTAACATTCTAAGCAGAAGTACTTTATTTTTGCTTTAAAACTTAGTTCCACTTCAGACTTTCTTTGCTACAAAAATGTCTTCACATTTTTAGCATCAGCGCTCATTTATAGACCTGACTGCTTTTGGTTAGTGAAAATAACGAGATAAACAGATGGACCGGTGTGTTCGATCGTGCGTGTTTACGATTTGTAACTGCTAGTTTTGGCTTGATTTTTTTTTTTTTTTTTTTAAGTTTTGGGCAAGGGGGGGG